CCCGTCACCCCATCCCCCCCCGGAACCGGCCAGGCCCGCCGGGGTGCGAGGGAGGCGTGGGTTTGTGGCCCGAGTGTGGAACTGCCTTCCTGGCTCCCTTCTCCCGTGCGGTCCCCGCTAGCCAGGACCCCGCGCGGGAGCGGACGACTCTCCGGCTCCCCGCTAGTCCTGCTTGTAGCCATGGCGGGTCAAAGCCACAGGCAGCCCTGACGGTGGCTTCACTCTGTTCTCCTTTTCTTCCGAGTTTCATGGTATTACGGACTGGTGTTTTGCACTTGTGGGTCTAATTGTATGGACAGGGCGAGTGTAAGAAAAGCTTAAGCAGCAGCGCCCCGACCCAGGGAGCCATGCCAGGCGAAGGAGGGCGATACCCTCAGCCTGGGGCCATTCCGGCGCCTAAGTATGGGGAAGCGGCTCTGGGCGCCCGGTGACAAGTCCCGGCGTCTTTTCTCCCAGACAAGTACTCTGTCCGCCGGGGAAGGAAGCACAGTAGGACTCGGGATCTGGAACAGGGGGCGCGCGCCTTCCAGGGACCAAGTCCGCAAGGACTCCTTTAGGTTGGAGAGCATCGAAGGACAAATTTAATTTGGGTCCTGCATCTTGCCCTGGGGCAGAAAGGCTCCAAATCCCGCAATCTAAACCGCGCGAAGCCAGAGGACCAGGGCTCCTGCTCCAGCCTGGAGTACCGTACGCCTTGGTTTCGTTCAGAAAACATGCTGTGCCCGGCAGCTCGTGTGGGAACTCCGGCCCAAAATCCCGGTCCAGGACGTAGGCAGGTTCGTTACTCCGGACCTCCGCGGCTGCAGGGGCCCGCCCCGGAGCCCTCCCGGAGCTTGCAGCAGTCGCAGCCCCGCCTCCCTGCCCGGCTCAGGTTTCGACCCGAGATTAGGTGAACTGATTGGGGGTTAATGAGAGAGACGCTGCGGACAACCGGCTCCCGGACCCCGGACGCAGCCGCGCGGCGTCCATCTCGGGTGTCCTCCAAACCGTCGATGCTCCACGGACTCAGGATATCGCGCGTCCCCCAGTCACCGCGCGCGAGGCGAGCTCGACTTCCTTTCCTAGGACAAAACTTTTGGTGAGCAGAAAGGAAAGTGCTTTTTCCTGGGGTCCAGTTTTCAAGGTTAGACTTCCATGGTCTTGGGTGTCTCGCCGTGGTCCCGATCCTGGCCGGTGCCCAGCACATTTGGCCAACTTTTCCCTGTGCCGGGCACGAGCAAGATCACACGGATGCGGGTTTTCACCCGGGCCAGGGTTTGGTCCTTTGCAGCCTTCGGTCCTTCACCCTCCTGTTCCGGGGTACCCTCCCGCTTCCCTGCTTCAGTCTTTACTGCCCACCTCCCCCGCCCCTCGGCTGCTGTCCCCGTCCAGCCCG